TTGGCTTCTTACGATTGTGTGTATTTTTTCTAAATTTCTTTGGGCTATTCCAATCAAAACCAAGGAAGCTGAAGTTGTAGGAGAAGCCTTAATTTCTTTATTTTCTCAATGGGGTGCACCATCAATTCTACAATCTGATAATGGCAAAGAATTTACTGCAAATGTTATTAATCGAATTTGCCAATCACTTGGAATTGTAATTTGACATGGGCATCTCGGCATCCAATGTCACAAGGGCAAATTGAACGCTTGAATCAAACAATTGGACGTGGATTAACAAAAATGATGTGGGATGAAAAAAATCAATTGCAAAATGTAAATTGGAAAGACAACTTACCTAAATTTGTATTTTCTTATAATATTACAAAGCATAGCGCTCATAATAAAACTCCTAGAGAAGTTATGTTTGGATATAAGCTTCTTGGAATTTATCAGCAATTTAATTATAACGATCCTATTGTTCTTCAAGAAATAGAAGTTGATAATTCACAAATAGATTTATCAACAACTATTGAAAGTCATTTAGAAAAAGTTTCAACAATTCATAACGAAGTTAATGATCAATTAGGAAAATCTAAAAAATATATGCTCAAACATTCAAGTGTTCATCATCGTACAACTCTTTACGAACCTGGTCAATTGGTCGCTATTGCTCCAGATACTGACATGAATCCAGCAACTAGAAAACGAAAATTTCAAACTACATTCAATAATACAGCAACAGTTATTGGTATGACTAACAATAATAAAACCATTATTGTCGAAACTTCTGATGGAAGCACTATGCGTTATCCTGTAAAAAGAGTTCGTCTTATTAAAAAAGGTAATTTTAATTATAATATAGTGTTTATTTTAAGTTTTTATTTACTAATATTTAAATAATTCTAGAAAATAAAATAGGCAATCAAGAAGAACCGAAGGATTGTATTTAAATAAATCAATTAAATTAAAATTCAAAGTATATAGCGATAGATTTAATTGTCATATAACATGTATCGATATCAATAAATTTAATTATCATATAATATGCATCGATATCTATACAATATTGCTTTTTAATTAGGTCAC